AAAAAAAAAAACAAACAGCCTTGGGCTCCCAAGTCGAAGCTGAGCCCTGGGAACCCCAAAAGCTCCCGAAGTCTTCGGCCCAGAGCCCGACTTTTTTTGTGTGTTGAGCTGCTAGGAGAAGGAAAGCTTCTGGGAATTTGTCTCTATTACATACCATGAGCAATAGATAAGTGTATATATATATATAGTGTAACTTGCTTAACCAGTGCCAAGTATGCTACACCTGCAATGACAAAAGAGTTAGTCTACGGCACACCCGACACAAGCAATAAATAACAGGCCTCGCAAACTTGTTGTCCGAAAACAAAACAAACCACGAAATCAATGGGCCTGCTGATAGGTTGCCCTCAAAAACGCTCCCATAGCAGGGCTGCAAAGAGCCAATAATAAAATCCCGGATGCACTTAGCACAGTAAAAGCGCCAAGAATAAAACCCCGGATGCACTTAGTACAGTATGCTACTCTGTCATCATTCTGCTTTCTAGTCATAAATGCGTACATGCATCTTATGCTTCACACTCTCCAGCTCGTTTTCAATCAAGAGATTCCCCCTGGGGGGGGGGGGTCAAAAACACACCCTCAACAACAGATTGCATCAAAAGACCTTGAGGATTCAAAAGCAACCTAATAAGACTTATTAGTCCTTAACAAGCACTTTCTACAAGCAAATAGCTCTCAGTTGTTCTTTCGCAAGCAGAAGCAATTAAGACTTTTTTGCTTCAGGTTTTCTCTTGAATACCTAGCTGCCTAGCTGTTAGAGTGGGTAAGTCAAGTAAGTAGATTGAAGTGGAAGCATCAACTGCCTTTCCGAAACCTCCGCTCTCACAGGAACCGTGCTCGTTTCCAATATGCCGAGGGCAGGACATTTGGAGCTCAGCAAAGTAGTCGTTGGGACGCTATGCACAAACCCAAGCTGTGCCCTGTAAACACATGCACTAGATTGCTAGATTTCGTTCCATGGCGCACAGTGGATCCCTAAGCCCCGACCTCGCAATGGAAGTTGCGAGATGGTGCGATCACCGTGAGGTACCTAGTTGCTCAGTTGTGGGTCATGCAATTTTCAGAGTGCGTCTCATTTGCGGCATGAGCCCGTCTTCCTTTCTTAGGTGAATTGGTGATTCCGGAAGGTGACGGCCGCTCCGAGCTGAAGCTGCAATTCCGTGTGCCAGACCCTTCGGCGGATGAGCAAGTGCTCTGGAGGGCCAGGGACGTGGCTGCTGCGTGCTTTGAGACTGATCGCAGAGATGCATTGAAAGGTAAGTTTGCAGACATCCTGCCTCACGCCAGAGTGTGTCATCAGAAAATCTGGCATGGCATTGAATGCCCAGAAGGTGTTCCTTTCGAGACAAGGACCCAGACAAATGAGCGGCCTTCCCGAGAAACTCAGCTGCCACAGGAGCTCGGGCTGCCCACTTCCTTGATGCTCGCGTCGGTCGTTTGGATGGCGAGCCATGTCAAGCGAGGCGCTAGGCCGCGCTTTCTGGCCTATCGTGTCCTGAAGGCAATTGTGGCAGCAGCATGTGGCCGCGAAGGTTTGAGCCTGGACGTGTTGTTCAAGCGTTTGGACGGATCTGTAGAATGGGGCAGACGCCTGTTACAAGCAGTCATGTCTATTGCCGGCCTGTGTGACGTGGAATTTTTCCAACAACAGTTTGCTGCAGTATGGGGTTTCGAGCTGAACAACACGGAAGTGCCGTGGATCGCGCATCCTGCGGAGAGACCGCATGTTGCCGATTGGATATGTTTTTGCCTGGACCAGCCTGTTTCCTTGCAAAGGGTTGGGAAAGTGCTTTTGCAATCCAAGAAATGTATGGAGGAGAGTGTTCTGTACATTGTCGCTCAGTTGGCGCATGCCGTGGATGCCAATGCCACGCTGTTGGGCAGGGCAGTTGCTAAGAAAGGCCAGAGGAAAATGAGTAAACTGACTGCTTGGTCTTTGACTGGCTTGGCTACAGAAGCCCTTGTGGCTGGGAGAGACACTTGAGTGGCACAGGGATTCAGGGTTTGGGGCAGTGCATGTTTGGGAGCGGGGTCGTGCTGTTGAAGTCGATCCTGCTATGCCATGCATCGCCCGATCCCAGGAAAGGTGGTGGACGTCGGCACTGAGAGAAGTTGGTATCCGAGATGGAGGTGCTGTGACGAAGGCCGCGTACAAGTTCTGTGCCCCCTGGCCTGCACTGTTTGTGCTTTCGAACTAGTGCTGAGTTCCGTGGGATAGCAAGATACACTGCTATCGTGAAGCTAAGTTGACATATCTGGCGCGATTACGAACGGAGCTTGCGGATGAGATCCACCTGCAGGCGGGGGGCCGGGTGTTGTTTGTGCCATGACATTGGAGTTGAGTCTGCCGTTGTCTTGCAGCGGCTATGCATGCAGGTGCAGTTTGATGGGTCTGACTGTGGGGGCATTCCCACCGAGATCTTTCATTTGTATGCACCCTTCCTTGGCCTCGGCGGTTACAGCGTCCCAACCGCCGGAAGCTGAGGGGTTCGCCGAAGTAGAAACGTGCACGCAGGTCTTGCAACGCATATCCTTGGAATCTGCAAATCCTCTTGTGGGACGACGCTTTCTGAGTATCTACATAACGAGAGCCATGTTGCTTCTGTGTCCGATAGCCGTTGCTTCAGAGAGCTCTGGCTGTGATAGGAAGTAGAAGGCTACAAGCTAGCATGTCCACATGGCTTACCTTTCAGACACTGACTGGGGAAAGCGCTGCCAGTCAAGTAGAAGGCCACGACCCACCAGAACCTGTGCCGACTCGCTCCACAGAGACTGCCGGCTCGTCCTTGCTCAGCCAGCCGCCTTTTCGCGCAGCTCGCAGGCAAACAGCATGTTGGCACCACTCCCATGCTTGATTCATTGTGTTTACAGTGCAGAACGCCGCGGCTTAGGCGAGCTGCATTGATCGTCCACTGGACATGGCTGGCCGTGCCATACGTATGGCTTGTTTCGTGCTGGCACAGGTTGTTCCGATGCATTTGCTGGAGGACCGACAGAGACGTAGACCCATAGTAGTAAAAGTTGAAAAGCACCTGAAAGCCCCAAATACCTAGCCTGCATGCCGCCTGTAGCACTATGTATACTTTATACTATAGCAGATTTCGCCCTAAGCACCCTACGAGGCATCCTTCCTGCGGACGGCGGTGGATATCTCCAGCTCCTGCACGGGAGTCTACACCGCGGAGACGGCAGCGGCGATTCTAGAAAGGACTCTGAACTTGTCTGGGCTCCTGCCCTTTACAGTGCACCTTCGGAGCTTGCGCTGCTTTGCTTCTCGCCTTGCAAATTCCGAATCCGTGGCATTTTGTAGGGGCTTGTTGCTTTGGCACTGCAATACCCGCCCTGTAAACACATAGTCAGCCCGGCCCAGACCGAGGAACTGGACAGCAGATGTAGACAAGCGATCGTGGACAACCACCGCTGGATCAATTCCTGGTCTGACAGGACATGGGTCATGCCCCATGTGCACGGGGATTTGCTGTTACAAGTGCCGGCGAAGGCCAGGACTTCCCAAGGCGGCTTGTTGCACAAGGCTGAGGTCGTCAAGACAGCAAAGGTTTACAAGAAACAGTGGTGCTTCACGCACCAGAGTTACTGCTCCACAGCGCGGCGCAGTGATGTTGACTTCAGCGGCATGCCTTGTCAAGAGAACTCGAAGGCAAACGTTCGCAGGAGGTTCCTTGACGGCCGCTTTGCAAACGTGTATGCTGTGTGGGCCGAAGTCCACAAGCGGCAGTGCACTCCTCTCGTCATTCTCGAAAACACACCAGAGACTAGACTTGCAATATTCAATGCAAGTGAACCCAACCCAGAGCCCGGAAACAGACACTGAAGCTGCAAGCCACGCACCAGAATACCTGAACCCCGGACCGTTGAGCCTCTCAGCCAAAGCCAACACCCCAGGTTGAGCACCGGTCGCTTTTGTTTTGTAGCCAAGAAGCCATAGGACCTTACAAGCCGCAACCCTGGATTCTGAGGACATTCCTCTGGACCAAGTGATCAAGCTTTTCGAGCCGGACTACCGCGCCTACCAGATTTTCCTAAAACCTGGCGATTTGGGCCACGCGGGGATCCGGAGGCCTAGGACGTTCATCTGCTTGGCGCACCAGGTGGAGTGTGAGTACCTTTACGACCTCTACGCAGTGCTTGAGAAGATCAAGCAAAAGATTTCGAACAACGTTCGCACGACTCCTGGGGACTACTTGGTCTCCACACCCGCGGCGAAGCATCTTGTGAACGCAGAGATGGCTCGCAAGCGCAAGCTGCAGCACGACGCGGACACATCTGTGGGGGGTGTAATACTTAAACAAAACCTTATATACGTGTAGTCTAGCGGGTTGCCGCCGCCCTAAACTCAGAAACTGCGAACCCCCACCAAAAAGAACACACACACACACAAGCACACACACACACACACAAACACACACACACACAGACACAGACACAGACACACACACACACACACGCACAAACAAACACACACACGCACACAAACACACAGACACACACACACACACAAGACACACAAGACACACACTCACACACAAGCACACACGCACACGCACACACACACACACACACACACACACACACACACACGCCCCACAAACACACACACACACACACACGCAAACACACACACACACACAGAGAGACACCGACACACACACACACACACACAGACACACACACACACACACAGAGAGACACCGACACACACACACACAGACACCGACACACACACACACACACACAGAGACACACACACACACAGAGACACACACACACACAGACACAGACACAGACACACACCGACACACACAGACACGCAGACACACACAGACACAGAGACACACAGACACGCACAGACACACACACTCACACAGACACGCACACACACACACAGACACACACACAGACAAACAGAGACACACAGACAGACACACACACACACAGACAGACAGACGCACAGGGACGCACAGAGACACACAGAGACACACAGACACACACACACACACACACAGAATTGACACAGAAACACACACACAGAGACACTGAGACACACAAACACACACACACACATTCACACACACACACGCACGCACAGAGACACACACACACACAGAGACACACACACACACACACACACACGCACAGAGAGACAAACACACACACACACACAGAGACACCACAGACACACACACACAAACACAAAGACACACACACACACACACTACAAACATACACACACACACAGACACACAGAGAGACAGACACACACACACACACAGACTCACAGAGAAACACACACACACACAAACAGTTCACAAACACACACAAGCGCACACTCACAGACACAGAGAATCACACAGACACACACAGACAGAGACACGCACACACACACACACACAGACACACAGACACACACACACACACACCCACACACACACACACACGCACTTACTTGATACAAGCATAAACACAGACACACAGACACACACCCTCACCCGATCCCGATACCGCCGCAGGACACGACCTGTGCTTGGTACCTGCTGAACGAGCGCGAGCAGCTGCTGGTGGAACAGTTGGACAGGGACTACCTGGCGAGGTACCAGCGTCTTCCTGCAAGCGACCCAGACCTAGTTTATTTTTTGGGTGACCGATACGAGTTCTCTAGGACGTGGAGCGCTCCGAGCAACTCCTTGCCTACGTTCCGACGGAACACAGGGAAGTTTCTGCACAGGCAAAGTTTGACCTTCCTTTGCCCGCAAGACAAGCTCGCAGCACTGGGGTGGCCCATGACACTGGGCACCGCAAACGAGATGGGGACCACACCTTTTCCTGCCTTAGATCCACATCGAGCGGACGAGATGGCAGGCAACAGCATGCATCTGACTTGCGCTGCTGTCGTCCTTATGCTCGGCTTGGCTTGCTTCGGCAGACAGAAGCAGAGCGCACGCCGCGCCTCAGGTTTCACCTGCGCAGCACCGCTGCGGTGCTCGGAGCATCCGTGAAAAAGGAAGCAAGCAAGTCCCACGTGCATGCGCCTGGCGGCCTACGTCCACGAACCGCATGGATGTGATTGGAAGTTTGCATTGGTCTAAGTTTGTGCTGTGCTGCCCTTGGCCCTCGAGTGTCTGTGCTCAAGGTTGCTGGGTTCTCTGCTCCTCGTTGTCTCCCAACCGTGCTCCTTGGAAGGGCATGGCTCCGAAGTTTTCCTTTCCTGTGCCGAAAGGGAAAACGCCTCCCTCGAAAGCCGCGACCGCGGCAAAAGCCGTGCCAGCCACAGCACCAGGACCTGCTTCTGTGCCTGCGAAAGCACCAGGACCTCTTTCTTTGCTGGCAGCTGCAAAGCCTAGCGCGAAGCCGGGCAAGGCAGTTGGAACTTTGGTGGCCCCGCCACCAGGACCTCCACCCAAGCCCTTGGGCGCGATCATGTGGCCTGGTGGATATATGGCAGGAGCGGAGGCTGCCGTGGTCGCAAAGGAGCCTCGGATGAAAGCCAAAGGGCCACCGTCCAAAACCCGGGGAACTGCGGCCGTCGAGCGGTATTCCTCCGCCTACAGCACAGTGGGTCATTTTCCGAATGGGCACCTGCAGGATTGGTTGCACGCAATAGCCCCGAAGTTCTTTACCCTGATCATGGTGGGCCGACTGGATCGAAACCAGCTGTTGAGCTACCTGTACCTCCTCACCGGCTTGTTGCCGTCGGACCGGCCACCTTCGTAACTTGGAGCACTTGTTTGACACGGCATGATTAGCCCAGTTTCTTTCATGCCTGTTCGCGCTGAACGAAACAATGTCTGCTCAGGTTCTCGAAGACGGAGTGCCTGGAAGCTCTCTGTGCGGAGCACGAGAGATTAGGCTCCCCTGGCAACAGCCTTCAGATCAAGCCGGACAGGGTTGTGGCCTACGTGCAGCGCCTCTTGTCGGAGACTGGTGGTGAAGAGGACGCGGACGACGAGGTTCCCGAGGACGACGAGGAGGAGCCGACCGGCGGGGAAAGCTCTGCGGTGGTCACTTTCACCGTCAACTTCGTGGACGATGTCTGGACGCTGAACGGCTGGGACACGAACGGCCAGGTCATTTCGTCTGCAGCCCTTCCGGAACTGGATTCCGGTACCTCTGCGGGCTTCTACCAGATCATCTACCATGACGGGCACGCATTCGCTTGGGGCGGCGGAAGCACTGAGGGCATCTACTGCATGGACTACCTTGCAGAGCACACTGCATCCGGGTCTGCAGGGCCAGGACGGGGCAACTTGAAGCTCCAACGTGCATGTCCTAGGATGTCCTCGGTCCTCTGCTCCACCAGTGCTGTGCTTTGATAGGAGCTGGCGGGCCGGCGCCCGTGCCGCCCAGCGACGTCCAGGACGTTTGTAGTGGTGGGGTTTCTAGACTCTAGCAGTGCAGCTTCTGTGAAGACTGTGTTCTGGATCCAGAGGAGCAGACTCAAAGCTTGCCAGTCCTACAGTTCTCGAGTTGTGCTGTACTTGGCTAGGATTGCAGCTCACGGTCTGGGATGTGGAACATTCACGCATTCCGTGTTAAAATTTCCGGACTGCAGTTCTCTAGTGATTCAGGTGAGCGCCGACAAATGTTCCTGTGCGCAAACCCATCCCCGTCCCTCCTCCGAGACACGTGGGCCTCAGCCAAAGCTCTTTTAAGGCACCCGAGCCCGCTCTGCATCGCCCTCAGAAGCCCTTCATAGCTCTCTCACAAGCCCCTACAAGCCCTTAATAGCTCTTAAAAGCCCTTAAAAGCTCTTAAAAGCCCTTAAAAGCCCTTAAAAGCCCTTAATAGCTCTTAAAAGCTCTTAAAAGCCCTTAATAGCTCTTTTTAGTCCTTACTAGCTCTCAAAAAGCCTTGAAAAGCCCTTAAAAGCCCTTCACTCTTCAAAGCTCTTAAAAACTCTCACAGCCACTCAACAGCTTTACAGAACCAGTCCCAGAACCTTGTTGGATGCCTTTGCAAAGTCGAGGTGTTGGGCAGGCGGCACGTGTGGGACAGGGGTGTCCGGGGTGGGGTGGTACCTAGAACGGCGGGGCATTACACGCAAACATTAGGCACGGACTGGGTGCTAGATGGGGGTTTGGAAAAGGGTGGGTGGGTGGGTGGGTCGGCGGGTGGGTGCGGCTGGGTGGGTTTGATGATGGGTGTTCGCGGGAATTTTTTCGTGCAGGTTGAGCGGCTATGAACAATGTTTGTTCTTGAGGCAGTGTAGGCCCGGCAGCCCATGCGTCACTGCCCGCTGTTGCAGGATGGTGACTTCTCGGACATGGAAGAGGCAACAGATGCTCCTGAGTGCATCATTACCACATCGGAAGGAAGGACCGTTTTGCAAGCGTTCGGTTACGAGGTAGACTTGCCAGACTGCTCAGATGGATGGAAGTGCTACCGTGACGGCACCAGTGGTGATTGGATCGTGGCCACTGGCAAGAACGAGAAACAGCGCTGGGCGAAGCAGCTGGTGCTCTTGAAACGAGCACGCGCGTTGCATGTCGCTGCAAAGCCTGCGGAGCCAGGGACTGCAGCAGATAGCCCGATCCCGACGGCGCCAGTGCAGCCTCCTCCTGCGCCCAAGTCGCCTGAGCAAGCCCCCAAAGCTACGCTTCCGGAAGCCGCCGTGCCCGCAGTCGCGCCCACCGACGTGACACCTCCGAAAGCCGCTGTTGAGAATCCTGAGACGATCCCTGCGGTTCCTGCAGCTTCCGTGGCGGAGCCCAAGGCTGCCGACACTGGAGGCCCCAAGAGCACACTTGCCAAGAGAGCTGCAAAGGTGAGCCCACCCCCCCCGCCGAAGGGCAAGGGGGTCTGAGCACACTGCTTCTGGAAAGTTTGGGTGAGCATGGTAAGTTAGAGGCTCCATGCCACCTTGTGTGACGATCTGCATCGGATGCACCGTGTTGCACCGCACTACTGTGTTTTGTTTTGTGTGCGCAGGAAAGCCAGGCTAGTCCAATACAAGAATCCTGTTGGCGAGGATCTGATGGTGCATTTTTGTGCGGCTCCGCTGCTAAATCCCTGTCAACCAGGCTGAGTTGTGCTGCGCAAGCAGAAACCCTTCTGGAGTACAGCTCCATACTGTCGTTGTGTAGAAGACGTGAGAAGTGTCATCCAGCTATGGCAATTGAGGTTCATGTGTATGTTCATGTAAATACGTGTGTGCGTGTGTGTGTGTGTGTGTGTGTGTGTGTGTGTGTCTCTCTCTCTGTGTATGTGTGTCTCTGCGTGTGTGTGTCTCTGCGTGTGTGGGTCTCTGAGTGTGTGTCTCTGTCTGTGTCTGTGTCTTTAAGTCTGTGTCTGTGTCTGTGTCTGTGCGTGCGCGCGCGCGTGTGTGTGTGTGTGTGTGTGTCTGTGTGTGTGTGTGTGTTTGTGGGGTGTGTGTGTGTGTGTGTGTGTGTGCGTGTGCGTGTGTGCTTGTGTGTGAGTGTGTGTCTTGTGTGTCTTGTGTGTGTGTGTGTGTGTCTGTGTGTTTGTGTGTGTGTGGTTGTTTGTGCGTGTGTGTGTGTGTGTGTGTGTTTGTGTGTGCGTGCGTGTGCGTGTGCGTGTGCGTGCGTGTGCGTGTGCGTGTGCGGGTGCGCGTGCGCGTGCGCGT